CCGGCGAAGGCAATTGCTCATTTTTCATCTTGCCTACTTCCAAAAAAAATACCTAATGTCTCTACAAGGTTAACAACAATATTTCTATTCAGTTGTTAAGCATTTACCTGTATTATAGAAAATTCCCAATCGATGTAAAATATTGTTGCGTGCGTACGGGTTCGTTACGAAATAAAAGCACAAGTCCGATGAAAAATGAACAAAAAAATTTATTATTATCACAAAATTCTTAAATTCCCTCAGATATTCTTTCAGTTTTACAATATCTCACGTAGTTATCTTATAACTACTCAAACGTTCAAAAGAACTTAATTCAAACAGCTAGAGAAAGCTAATCTGCGAATTCGCTACAGTCAAGAAGAGCAGTTTTCTAAGCAACAACAAACTAAGTAACTCCTACAAACTGAGAAGTTTTCCTCCTTTTATAAGATTTTAAAATCGCGCGCGAGAATTTTCTAGTACTTTCTCGAAATCAAAAAGAGATATTTATTAAATGTTTCATGCACGCGCTCTTGTATTTTCATTTCGGGCTTAGCTTTCTTTTAATATTCGTCACGCGCTGCACTGCGCGGGAAATAAAACCATTTAATTTATAATTCAACTAACATAAGCTATTTAAATACCAAATCCGTAACAATATTAAGAAATTTATCCAAAAACTACGGGAAAATTTAAAAAAAGGGTAGATTAATGTTGTTTTTAGTTTTGTAAGCCAAGGAAACAGTTTGTTAGTTAAAAATAAAATTTAAGAATTCAGAAGTTAAAATTAATTAATGTCTAGTAATCCAACAGGGGAATGATTATGCTTATGTGGCCAAGACATATGGCCTTAACAAGCTAATTCTGTAAAATATTTCTCCCGCCTTCTTAGCATGCCTTTGTAGTGCAGTGATCAGCATGCTGGATGCGTATTCCAGAGGCCCATGGTTCGATTCTGACGAGGGCGTTGCTCATTTTTCACATCTTCTGCTTCCAAAATACCTAATATTCATCAAATGCTTTATAAGATTCTAGCTAAACTCACTTTACTTTTGCTGGCTAGATCTTTATTTGAACTGTGAAGGGACTATTCGGAAAGTTCAAACTGTATCAATGGCAAGACGTGGTAAGAGTAAAAAAAAACCTTCTTATTCAATGATTTAGAGACGGCACTTCTGGTACTTACAAACTTACCCAATACTCAACTCAGAATATAAATATAAAATTAAAACTAAATTAAATACACAGCCAAAGCTGCACAGAGACAATTAAAGTAAGTTAGCTCTTAGACACAACCGTACACAAACGTACACAAACCGTACATCGACGTACAACCGTACATCGATGACACAACCGTACATCGACGTACAGAAACCGGCAATTAAAATGCAAGGCCGTAAAATACACTGTTTATCATAAATTAAGGAAAAATCACAAAAATCAAGATTACTGAAAAAGTTACATATAGAATTTAATGAAATTTACCCACGATATACAACACATAGTAAGGTATCAAATAAGATATATAGAATTTAATGAAATTTACCCACAATTTACAACACATAGTAAGGTATCAAATAACATAAAAAGAAATTACCACACAAATATGTTAGTATAGAAATTAGCACATGTATAAAATGAACAAATCGAAGGTGTCAGTTTGCTACAGGAAAAGTACCTTCAGTATGGAATATGATCGCCTCTAGAAGCAATACAGCACATACAGCGATGTATGATGCTTTCAATTAGGCGGTCTATCAGTTCCATGGGAAGCGAGAGCCATTGCTCTTGCAAAGCAGTTGCAAGCGCGACAAGGGTTTGAGGGGGACGGATTGAAAGCAGCTAGAAGTCTCCTTAAAGCATCCCAAACGTGCTCGATAGGATTCAAGTCCGGGGATCGAGCTGGCCACTCCATGCGCATAATTGTTTCCTGTTAAAGATAATTATCTGCGATGCGAGCCCTGTGTGGTTTTGCGTTGTCGTCGTGTAACAGGAAAGCATCACCTATTGCCCCGGCATATGGGCGCACATAAGCATCAAGGATGTCACCTCTATAAATCTGAGCATTCACGGTTCCCCTTGGAAAGACATGGAGGTCTGTGCGTCCACCCAAAGAGAATGCCACCCCAAACCAGACACCTGCCTCTTTCGTATGCATCTTTCACGGATGTTTGACGGATGATAACGGGTTCTAGGTTCTCTCCATATCAAATAACGCCAACTATCGCTTTCTAGACTAAACCTGGACTCATCCGTAAAGAGAACTGCCCTCCATTGATCAGGCGTCCAGTGGACATGTTGTCGTGCCCACTGAAAAAGGTCCCTCCTATGGCGTGACGTGAGCAGCACACAAATGGCTGGTCGCCTCGCATACAGACCACCTTCGTGAAGCCTTCTACGCAGAGTTAACATTGACACAAACCTTCCGATGGCTGCAGCAAGTGCCTCTAGTCTCCCAATGTCTCTCCATCGCAGTTCTGCAGGCAAATGATGCCTGGAGGTTATTGTTACGAATTGGCTATCTCAGATTTCTGATGTCACTGTCACAGTGAAATATATGGGCTTGCTCTCAAAAATGAACTTTTATGTTCCTCGCAGATGACGTATTCTGAAAGCAGTGCCACTAATTTGCATATCACAGTTTTACTCAGCTACTCTTACTTGGCAACATATTCAAATTTTACACGGTTTGGCTTATTTTTGATGGAGTTATCGCTATTTTTTGTAATTTTTCCTTAATTTATGGTAACGAGTGTAGAAAACTTAAATATCACCGAACATTCTACCTTACTTTGGATATCACGCGAAACTGAAAAGCATTCTGGCAGGAAAGGAGGGAAGATAGAAAAGCTAAGTTACTGAACCAAACTATTTAGTTTGAAACTAAAATAGCGTTCCTTACAGCTTCATAGTCTCATCATGTTAATAACAATCAGCTGAAGTCCGCTAGGGGGCAAAACAGGAGATGAGTAGAATGAAGAAGGCCGTGTCACATGAGCCAGGCAACTATCAGAGTAGTTAAATGTAATCAAAGAGGAGGCTTTTCGGAAAACAAGAGATAAATTCAGACTCGGTAGCGAAAATGCTGTCTTTAAGGCGATGCACTGCAAATGCCCTGATGGCAAAATTTTGCGGAGGTCTCATTGTTTTTAGCATTTTAAATCATATAGTTGCTTAATATGTAATTTAACATTCTCTGTGCATATCCTTAAAGCCAGTTTAAAATTAACTGTGACTTAAAGTATGCACTTTCGAACGAATGACTAAAAATTAGGTTTTTTATTACGTCTCGAATGAAAGTTAAATTATTTGAAATTTAGGCACTGAGAGTGTGTTACAAATAAGACTAAATTATGACCTTAAATTACCACGCTCAAAAGGACTTCTAAGAGTCCTGAATTCTGACTTTCTGAGGTATTTACAACCACTCTAGCCTAGCATTTTCCATTATTAAATGCTAAGTGAAATATGATTTGGAATCTGGGATCACAGTAATGGTTTGGACTGCACCCAAAGGTGTGAAGATCTTGTGTGAAGATCATAGGTTGCTACAGTAAAACGGTAAATTTTCTGTTTTCCTTTTTTCTTTTTTAGCATCAGAAGTACTCTCGAAACACGAATTTTGTCCATTTCACTTTTGTGTCTCACAATCACTTTTCAAATAGTTGCCATTAAATATTACCGCCATGTATTATTTAAAAAAAATTACATAACGAAGAAATCTGCATGAATGTATGTATGTTTCTCGCACTGTAGGAAAACGACGGCACCTACAGCCATCAAATTTTTAATATGCGTAATATGTGCCACCTGATCATGTGCTCCTCGAAACCCGAATTTTGAATTACCAATTTGTTTTATATTTATTTCATATTTTGTTCTGTGGAGACATTAGGTAATTTTTGGAAGCAGAAGAGATGAAAAATTAGCAACGCTTTCGCCGGGAATTGAGCCACGGACCTGAAATACCGGCTGAGTGTGCTGACTACTACACCCCGAAAGCACACTAGGAAGGCAAGGAAGTCGGAAGAAATACCTCACAGTGCAAAGTTAACGACGTTTTAATTAACAACTTCAGCCATTCGAAAGTGAGAAGTGGTATCACCGTTCGAAATAAAACATTATTTCCTGCTCGCCAGACAGAAAAATATTTTACATTCAGCAAAATCTAAAATATTTTCTTTCAGTTTTAATGAACAAATTTGGCTGTTTGAAAACGATGAGTTGCACGCCCAAACGCCAGATTTTCCATGTCTCAGCCTGTTACCATTCAGTAAAGCCTAAGATATTTAACTAGAAGTAGATTTAATCTAGAAGTTTAATGAGTAACAAACTAAGTGAATCAAAACCAATTAACACAGTACTTAAAAGCATTTTTTCTTCTTTTAATATGATTAATTTAAATAAAAATGCTTTAAAATCATGAGGTTTCTAATCATAAATATTAAATACTTTATTAAATGACACTAGATGGACTCATTATATACTTTTTTCTTTTTTATGATAACTATTATAGGCGGCTGAACGCACGAGCAACCAGTTTTTGAAGAAACAATAGAACAAATAAAACAAGCAGGGGAGCCCTAACATTCTATTGGGAATTCTAAAGATATGTTGTTTTTAAGTATTTTGTATTTTTGCTGTTGAATTTTATGCGGCGTAAATGCGAAGAAATCGATGCTTAATAATAAAGCTAAAAAGGCAAAAAAAGAAAATGTATAAGCAGGAGTGAGTGTAAGAGCAGACTGGTAATTTGTGATGTCAGCGAGATCATATAAAACCTCAAAAAAACCTTCTGGTAGAAGGTTAAAATCATTTAATTTTTTTTTCCGTGTGTGTGTGTGTGTGTGTGTGTTTTCATAAAGCAATACGAATATTCATCATTATATCGAGAAACGAAATGGAACAGTTTTCCAGTGCTATGAAAAAATTACAGTTATACTGATTAGTCTTGTTATACCAGTATTATCAGCCATGCTTAATATCAAATTATTTCCAAAACTCTAAGCTTATTTTCTTACCTTTGAGCTGGTGTGGTACATCATCCTCAATTTCTGAAAAGACGGAAACGTCATCTTTGCCCGTCGGAACGGTATGTCTTTCCTCCCACCCCCCGCATGCGAATTGGTAGAAATCATCGCAAGGATCCACAGATTCATCTAAATTGGATGAGATCTGGGCAGCTAGAAGAGTGGAGAGAAAAATCTTCAGCAACCACAAAAGGAATACCTTCGATCTTCAATAATGATTCCAAATTCTAAAATACAAAAGAACTTGAAATTTCCAAAAAGGCTAGAAAAAAGACGCAATATTTCTATGAATGCCCTGTACTTAAACAGTAAATTTAATGCTAAAATGGAGAATATTCATATTAGAGGAATTTATGTGTTTGTTATTTGAATAGTTTGTGTGGATCTATATTAACAGGAAGGAAGATAAAAAGAGAAAATGGTTCTTCTCTGCATTTTCAAGAGAATAAAAATTAAAATAAAGGAGCTAGACGGCTATACGTGCCTATGAGAATGTATGTTTAATAATTACAAAATTAACTCATCCAAGCTATTTATAAATTTTCAGAGGTTTCCTAGCCGGATTTGCATGCATGCAAAACACAGTTAAACGTATATAAAGTGAAAATCACGAACTCAAATTCCTCAAATGCAAAAGAAATTTGCACAGAACTACAGAGTAAAAGGAAGAATAAAATAAATAATATATATATATATATATAACTCGACAGAACTAAAATTTCGGATACTTTTATTTGAAGATATGCGCTCGAAATTGTGATGAATTAAAACAGTAAAGCTTTCCAGGTTAAAGTGAAAACATTTAAAAATTCCCGAATGACAATACCCACTTTTACTCCGAGCTCATTGGAAAGAATAAATGGCTTTGGAACAATACACGTTCGATTGCTGACGTAAACATATATGACGTAACACAGACGTACAAGGCAACATAAAACGTAAACATAAGCATACAGGTGTGATACACGCAGACACGTCCGTAAAAAAGTTCAGACGTAAACACTTTCATTGCAAAAGACCAACGGCAACACAAAAGACGAGAGGGAATAAACTCTTATTGGAATTAATAAGCTTTCAACGTGTACAGAGTTTCAAGATAGAGCCATATCTCCTTAACTTGGCAATTTCATGGCCACTACGATCTCCCGACCTCACTCCGAGTGATTTCTGGTTCTAGGTGGTTATCTGAAATTTACGATGTATTCATCAAATCCACGAAATTTGTCAGAATTGAAAGATGCCATAAAAAGTGAAGTTATGCAGATTCTTTCTGCGATATCACGTTCATCACTGTCAACAATCTCCTTCCCGCATGCAATGCGTTATCTTCTGCAGACGGGCGAGTTGAAAACTTGTAATCCCTTTCTTCTCGTGTGCTGTCATTGGTCCTTTACTATGCTTTTCTTTGCAAATTTTTCACCCCAGCTGTTTTCGTCAACGTGTATCATTCCAATGCCATTTATCACTTTTCAGTGATCTGATCTATTTGCACAGGAAAAAAGTGGATGTTGCTCTTCGAAAGTTTCGAAATGTTTTCATTGTAACCGTAACTGTGATAGCTCTATTTCAAATATTCACAATCTTAAGCGCGTACCTTCAAATAATTTTATCTGAAATTTCATTTCGATTCGTTAAGCGGATAGATCACTAGGAATTCATATATCCAGGAAGTTTTCTTATAATCATGCTGTGTATATGTATATATATATTTTTAAATTCAGTGCACAATTATTTATTCATTCAACATTCATTTTAGTTTATATACATTTTGGCATTTAGTGTCTAAATAATACGTGCTAAATTTTCGTGGGTTTACCCACAGGATAGCAGATTTTTTTTAAATTTAATCAGAAGCATAGGCGGAAAGATTCCACCTCTTCTGAGATTTTATTAGCTTAACAACGAGAAGTTAAGTAAATTCGTTTGTGTCTGCAGTAATATAAACTAAGTTATTAAGATTACGACCTACTAATTTCACTGTGTTCGAAGTATTCACACGCATTATCGCTTTCAAAGTTTAACTTTAAAAATTCCCATACCCACTGCCAGACTCATCATTTTCAAATCATTTAAAGTTTCTCATCAAAACACTGCAAGACTGGTTACTTAAAAAATCCATCACTCACCTAGGGAAGAAGACAGATTCACTCCTGTCCTCAATCTTTTCCAATGATACTCTCAGCTTCTCATCGTAACAATTGTCTTCATAATGGTACAGCACTAAATTAATTTTGAGATTTAGTTCAATTCAGTCTTTGTGGGTGTGTGTGCTAGCTAGTATCCTAGTTTCTTTGTGCACTGACACATTTGACGATCATATTTTAATATCGACATGTTCATTTTTTTTCCTGTATATGGTGAAAATATGTCTGAAGCATAAGACTGCGGATCAGCCAACTTTTGTTTCAAACTTAATTACTTAAGCGTTATTATTAATCAACAGTTATGCCAACATCGAACAACATTTAACAGATGATGCTAATTGACGATAAGATAATTTATTTTCAACTTTATAAAAGTGAAATTGACATCAGTGCAAGTTAATCATTTAAAAACACACGTTTAAGAACTGGACTTCTTTACACACTATTACCTGTAGGAAAATTTATGTATTTAAAAATAATAATTTTGCTTCTTTTAATTAACAATTATGCTAAAAAATTTGGTTAGAAAATTTATATTAGAAAGGGCGAATGTGTGTGCTATGAACGCAAGTCAGCTGTTCAGTATTCATGTTTACAGAGTGTTAAGTGTTGCCATATTTCTTTTTTATGCTCGTTAAATTTTGGAAAACAGACGAAATGGTACTTTAATGTATTTAAAATAGTGAATTTTCAGATTCCATTAATACAATCCGTAGGATATAATACGCCTTATTATTATGATCTAACTTTAAAATTTGTATTTTATAAACTATTTTAATGTTAGTTTTAAGACATTTTAAGATTATAAGATGAATAAGTTTTAAGGCAAGAGTTGCCTACTTTAGTTGCTGTTTACTTTAGTTATTACTAGCAGAAGTACCCGATGGCAGTTATGTTTGAGAGCAATGCATTTAACAACAGAAAGAACGATACCGTTGTAATCCCTCTCTAATTAACGATAAAAAAAATACGATTCATAGTCATGCATTTTTCAGTCTGATGCGATATGGAACCCACATAAAAAATGTCGAAAGAAAAATAATCTAATTCTTTCTCTCATTATATCAGCAACAATGGCATGCTGGTTTTAATTATTTTCGTCTTTCTAATCAAATGGTCGTAAAAGCTTAAGTTCCACCCAATGTTTCACCTATATTTATTTTTAGTCGATTAAAAGTGGCAAAAAATTATCATAATTGATCAGAAATCAATAACGCGAGCAAACAAACATTCTTCTTTATATGTATAAATTTTGTAAAACTTACAAACTCTAGGTTTTGAAAGGGAGCATTGGCAACAACTTTCTAAATAAAGCAGATTTCCATCTCCAGCTTACGAGATTGTTGCCATTCGGAAAAAAGAGGACGAAAATTACCGTTTTTCTGTGTTTTTTATTAATATCTCTGACTTTAACTATTTGGGGGGAATGGATATCGGCCTTTTCCAGGACCCAGTAAAGAATCGTAGAAAATTTGGCGACGATAGCTATAGTAATGACTGAGTTATTAGAGGACAAACACACAGACTTTCTTCTTTATATTTATAGATTAGTGCAAAGAAACAATTTGCCCAGAAGGAAATTTCGTTTCGGCAATAATAGTTTCACTACAAGTGTTGTTTCACTTTTTAAATTGTTGTTTTATCGCCCTGTATTATATTTAAAGAAATTAAATAATGAAGAATCTGTATAAATGTGTGTATGTTTCCCGCACTGTGGTAAAATAAGGGTACCTAGAGCCATCAAAATTTGAATAACGTAATCCTCCGGCGAATATGGCATCTGGAAGCTCAAATTTGAAATTTGGAATTTGTTTTATTATCAATTTCACATTTTGTAAAACTTTAACGAATTTTTGATTAACAAACTCAAGGATTTCAAAGCGAGCAATGGCAACGTTGTACAGAAAAAACATTTTTTTATTTCCAGCGCGGGAGATTGTATATCGGAAATTTTAAAGATATGCGCATTTTAAAATTATTTTGCGATATTCCTCTTGAACTGAATTTTATGGTTTAAATGCTAAGAACATGATATTTAATAAGGTAATACACAAAATGCTAAGAAACGTCCTTTTGGACGTAATTTAAAATCTGAAATCTTTCGGATTTTGTTTTTTACTTTCTGTACGAAGTAAAAAGGAAGTATTGTAATCGCGAAAAGTTTCAGGCAACATATTTCAACGAAAATATTCATTTTGACCGCTATCAAATGCAATTTAACGATGCTTTTGCGTGATATCTGTACGTAAGGACAGAATAAAAGCCTCTTTTCCTCCAAAAAAATTATAAAACTGCTTTAGAATTAATTCTGAAGAGAATTTTTCGTGGCGTCTGTACGAACGTATGTACGTACGTATCTCGCATAACTCGAAAACGAGTGGCCTCAGAACGTTGAAATTTTGTATATAGGACTGCTATAACTTGTAGATGTGCACCTCGTATTTTGGTTGCAATCGGCCTCACCAAACGTATATAAATATATTTATATATATATCGACTCTGTTACCAGGCTCAGTGATCTCAGTTTCTTTACTCTTATATGTTTGTAAATTGTATATTTTTTGCTTTAAAAATGATTGAATTATGTTGTTTTTATCTTCCGGTTAAGGTTTTTATGCCTTTAGGAAATCTGCAAGCAATATTTGGAGAATTAATTAATAATTTAAAAGCTGTTTAAGTGCGGTTAAGCCTAATTTTTAAATAACATGGTGGACATGTTTGTTCGCAATTGAAACACCTGAATAGCAGATTTTTTGCCAATCTAGAGAGACTAGGCTTTGCAACAACAAAGATAACGCCTTCATGTATTATCGCGAATTAAATCATGCTTAATCCTTTCTTGAATTTTTCGAGGAAATAAGTGTTTAAGATTTACTTCGTAAATTTTAATGCAGATATTTTGAGTTTTTATGTAATTTTGCCTTGTCGCGAAGTGAGAACTGAATTAATTGAATGAGAAATACTAAATCGTCTGTGAAAAACTGTTTCTTTTCTGTTTTGTTTGCTTAATTTTCATAGATCGTTTTAGCTCATTAGTATTTGAATAGAACATGTGGGCAACGATAATTCTTCAAATGATATAAATTTTGTGCATTCAGAGTGTCGTTATAGTGAACAAATATAGTGAATTTCAAAGAGTGCATTTATTCTATTGTGGTTTATGTGCTGTCGACGAAGTAGATTAAATTCAATCCAATCAATTTAAATGAAATTCAAGAAAAAATGCGTATAATTTAATATTCCGTACAAGGAAGTGATGTGGTGTACACATCAGATTTTTTTTTAATTATTATATCTAATAATAAAATTTAGCGTTAACAGTGACATCAGCCTCTTGGGTAATATGATACAGAAAGGTAAAGAGGAAAAAAATGTGTGTGGTGGACATGTAGCTGCAGTTGGGGCATTCCAGAATAATAATTACGTATTATCTTATTTTGTAAAAGAAATACTCGAAAAAAAAGAAACATCAATAATGTATTTTATTTTAAATCTTTTGGCTCTCTTTTTTTCGTTGCCAATCTGAAGTGTTACAATATGTTTGTATAACTTCATCACGTTAAGAATACAAAAAATATTAAAAAACATAAAAATTATACTTAAAAATATGCATAGGTAAGTAAGAAAATAAAAACTGACATCTTGATATCAAACTGCTACAGATGCACTCCGCTGATCAATGTTTACTTTTAGAAATAGTTTTTAAAAAATGAGAGAAATAAAAACTACTTGAGACAGACCATTGAACAGAAAAAAACCTTTTCTCTCCATGAGATCGACAAGAGTTAACATCAATAATAATATCTCAAAACAATTATTGAGACAGATTGAGGATTGAAAACTAGAAATGGACATTGTACATGATACTGGTACGTTGGTTGATCATTTTAATTTTAAGCATTATTCAATTCGTTAGAGAATCGGGTTGATTACCATTTGGTACTAGTAGTCTCAGTGACGTTTTAATACTTATTATGTTATCAGCAACGTTATATTATTTGCACGGATAATTTAGGCATCTTAAAGCAAGACTTAATACATTTTTAACAGAATAGTAGGAAGTACCAATCATGTAATGTAACTTCGTTGGACATAATGTAAACTAATGCAGAACAAGGACTAAATGTTATTTTAGAAAGTAGATTGAAATATAATCAAAACAAATTTTAATTCTTTCAGTCTGTAATTTCTCTAAAAATTGTAGACGAAAATCAAGAAAGTTTCAAAATGAAATAACGAACATTTAATAGAACATTAATAAATAAATTTCACTTCTTTCTTCCATAGAAATGTACTTCAGTTCTTTGGTAGCAACATAAATTAATCTTAAATATGATAAAATTTATAAAATATGATTTAAATATAAATGAAATTTTAATTCATTTTAAATTTCTTAAAATATTTTAGAATGAATTAAAACTTTAAATTTCTTAAGATATTTCAATACGTCAGCAAAATTTAAGTTATTAGTTCTTATTAATTCTGTTGTTTTAGGCTCTAGGTCTCAAATAAAGAAAAAATATGCTCATTCAAATAAAACATTCAAGTTTCTGTAATCGACCATCTCTCCAGAGTAGTCGATGTCAAAGCGAATACTGTCGGTGTCCTACTACTACGCGAGAAAATAATACGTCCATGTAGCTATCTACAAACGGTAGCTTAAAATGAACAGTTTCGTTGCAGGTATAACCCATTTTTAACAATCAAATATTTTGCTAAGAGGTGAGCAAAGAACATTATGTCTTTTAAAGAAACATCTGATAATAAAATCTCAAATTCACTTCACCTGTTTGAAAACATTCGGGTGTTAGACACAGAGTGCAGTCCGAAGCATTTTTAAGGAAATTATCTAGCCGACGCAAATCCACTAAGATGTCAGCATCTGGAAGAGAACATAATAGATATTAAAGTTGATGGTCAAATATTAACCTGTAGACAGAAACTTTAGCAGTAAAATATAGATATGTTTCACAGTTTTATACCTATTTCTATGCTGTAAATACTAATAAAAGAACATCAACTAATTTTAGCAGCTTAAAACTCCTTTCTTCTACTGGCTTCTGCATTAGGATGTATTTGCTAGCCCATCAGAAGGGTACCCTGGAGCCTTTCATAGTATTTAAAAATTATGTGCAATCGCACAGTCATTCGAACGGACGAAATGGGAAAGAATGTCGTAAGAATGCCAAATTTGAAATGAAAAATGAAGAATTTAATGCATAGGATGAGATTTGAGATTCCTAGTTCCACATTCTGTTGGCGTAAAAGTGCAAAACAAATTTGCAATAAAACACAAGAGATATAATGCAAAAATATTTATAGAATAATAGTTGATACTCAAAGTTGTCCGGATCAAGTGAAGAACTCTTGATGCTATAGTTTCTAGATAAGTTCTCTTCAACTGCGCAGGTAGTCTGCATGAAGGTCTTACATGATATTATAAGAAACGCGATCTAGAATAAACTGACTCTGGGGCAGAATGAAAAACATATAGGATATATACAAAATTACCAGTGCGCATTGTGGTGAATAGTTCTCGGTCGTTAGACTATATTTTCGATTGTCGGATCATAGTCGATAATTCGTGTAATTGTTGTGTATTGCGAAATCTTCATTTTGCTGAAGAAATTATACGCTGTAATGAGAATGTGATTGTACGCTGGAAAAGTTCCGACTTTTAATTCGGTATGTGTTTGGGAATTTCTCATGTACTAGGGAGTGTTAACTACAGTACAGAGAATTGTATTTTAGAAAACTTTTAAATTTTTACTAAAAGTTTTCCCAGCAGCTGGAAAGGCAGGAACTTCATATAAAAGTACAGTGTGAATTACTAAAGCTACAACTACAAATTTTATTGCGATTAAATTCTTATATCAGTGCTCAATAAAGATTGATGGTTAGCGCTGAACATCCTGGAATGATGCCAATATTCTTTCAGTGTGCAATTTCGAAAAAGAAGCAGTTTCTCATGTAACTGAAATTTATTACGGAAGCGACAATATGTTTTACTGTCCTATGCCCACATAAGTTTTATCAGCAACCAAAATGGAATAAAAAAATGGCTATATTGATACGAAAATTTATGTAGGAGTGAGCACTAGAAATGACAGCGTTATGTCATGAGCTTGAGATTATCTAAATTTGGATACATCAAATGACAGAATCTCACTAACGGGATTGTCTTACCAAAAAAAAAATCCTACGCATTAGAAAAATTTGAAGCTTAAGACTCTGTGAGGTAAAACCTTTTCAAGATCCATTTGAACAGAAATTCGAATGATAAGTAGAAAAAATGAGAAAGCATACAGACTGTATACTCGAAGTACCTAATGAATACCTCGGTAGAAGTGGTATTTATAAAAGACGGATAGTGATGTCAACGTTCAAAAAGCTTATTTTTTTTAATTCTCAGAGTAGTTTACAATTTGAGAGATAATAACTTTGTTGTAGAAGTCTACATTAAGATTATAACTATTTCCTTCATATGCATAATTTTAAGTCTTTGTAGATTGTACCTTTCTTAATGACCAAAGGAGCACCAGTAATTTTCCAAAGAAACTACTTAATTTCAAATGTTTGAAAAGTTTCAAAAGTTTTTATCGCTTTCAAACCTCCAAGCAAGAGATGCAAATGTCAGTTATGGACTGATGAAGGAGATGTAAATAGATCGCTTTCAAACAACATCAGATGCAGACATTTGGAGAAAGAGGTTGCCAACCGAGTTGCCTTTTGGGAATTTTTCTTAGAAATATAGTAGCAATACAAAAATAGAAAAATGTCATTCTGCGTAAGAAGAAGATTTGGTTAATAGCCTGAATGAGACACAAGCCCTATTACTTCTCTTCCTAGAATTGACGGGCCGGGGCCGAGCGGTAAAGTCACTGAGTATTGGGATTTCGATTCAGCTTCGAATTCCGGCGAACAGGCAGATTGATTGCATGGGAGTTTTCGTGCTTTTCCCCATGTTTAATGTGGATATTGTTCTGTTCTCCTCAAATCGAAAGCATCCTTTCTCCTAGGCAGATGGCTTTGAATTTCTTACCCTTAACCTAATTTAACATAACCGAGAATTTCTTCAGAAATCTGGGGAACAGTCTTTCGATGATCTTCGTTATTAGTCTATCTCCCTTTTTCTTAGTGCTTTCTGTTCATCAATGCATATAGAAGTCTTTCACTGACATATCCTCATTTTTCAACCGCTTGTATACCTGTGATTTATTCAAAGTATCGTCTGTAAAAGTTTAACAAAGCATAACACGATCTCAGGTGTAGAGTTATTAAATAAAAATCCAAGATTTAAAACGCAGTGAAGAACATGCATAAATCAGCCTCAAGGAATACAGCCTCCCTGTATTCAGACTGATGCCATTTAATAGAAAGGAGAAGGAAATCCTCATCTAATGAAGCCTAAAGACACGATCTTTAATTATCAAACGCACGCTTTTCATGCCTATTACTATTGGGTACCCTTAGGTACATATGTTAATGCTACTGAAGCGTTTTTATATGTACCATCAAATGTGACCGTATAGGTGCATCACAGTTGGTGGTCAGGATGTCATCGACATCCTGACTACCAACTACTTATTAAAAGTAAAGACTGAAAACGTCCAGAAGCAGCTAGTCCGTAATATTAACAAAGTGGGGATTAAAGTCGTCCGAGTAAGGCCTAAGCGCTCCCAGGAACTATTCATCAGGTGTAGTGAAGACAGACTTGGACAAACTCAGGACCGCCATCAGTGAAATTCCGGAATTAGATAACTCATTAAGTGTAAGTGTGCCCAGACCACCTAGGCGTACCATAATAGTCTTTGGAGTGCCACAAGACAGTACAGCTACAGATATCACAGAGGCTTTCTCCAATTTGTTCCCAGGTAACACGAAAGAGATTATATTCCCTATTCGTTCCTACCCAAAGGAAGATAACACCTGACATTGGCTAGTGGTTGTTGCAAAAGAACAGGCCGAACAGTTATTAGAAAAGAAAAGAATCTGCATTGGACTTTGTGTCTGCAATTTCAAAGAATATCTCCAGGTGAAGCGGTGTAACAACTGCCAACAATTAGGGAACTACAGACGTTACTGCAAGTCGGATACAGCCTGATCCAAGTGTGGCAAAGGACACCCGTTAAAAAAGGGCGGCTCAATTACCAACAACTGTTTGAACTGCAGCCTCGCGAACAAGAAGCCAGGTAGCAACTTCGACACACAACATCCAGCAGCGCATCGAAATGTCCATGTTACAGACAAGAATTGGCGAGAATGAGATCAGCAAAGGAGTGCATTCAATAACAGAGAAGGTTTACAGCAGAGATCGGTCCAACATCAAAAAGAGCACCCACACTCAGTTTCATGAAAGTGATGTCCTCCAGTGCAGCAAACCCGGCACTCTTACAAAAACCTTACATGAGGGAGGGCAAACTTCTTGGCCAACCTCCAACAAGTAAATCCTACGCCTCCAGCACGGGAATGGCAGCCATTTTGTATATCGGCCTTCTAAGTCCATTGCTTCTGTATACGAAAGATTACACAGTAAGAAACTTGATTGAATCCTCCAACATGAAAATAACATACACTTGCGTTTACTTTCCCCCAAGCATGCAAATTGAATGCCTGCTGCAGGAATTAAACCCAGCCTTACTACGTACATTCCAGAATACCATAATGGCTGGTGACTTTAACGCCACCAACCCCTTATGGAAAGCACAAAAAGAAAATCGCAGAACGCAGAAATTGTTAGAATATGCGATAGCTCACGGAATGACAGTAATAAATAAAAAAGACTCTCAACCAACATTCGACAATGGAAAAGCAAAAGGCTGGCCAGATATCACATTTGTCTCATCATCAGTGTCCGCGGGGAGCGGGGAACAACTGAAAGATAATGGACATACCCTCTCTGAATGACCATCGTATAATTCAATATGAGATCAATAGTAGACTCACGTACCTAACAAAAAGACGTTTCAAGACCTGTTACGGAAGGCACAATGCTTTACAATTTTACCTCAGGCCATGGGTGAGGGAAATCTTGGAACAACTGGATAACTGCGACTCCCCGAAGAAGCTGGATACTACATATGCCTTCATCATAACTAAATTAACTCATCAGCAAGAGCTTCCTACAAACTTAGAACTATTAAGCCGAAAACATTTACATCGTTGTGGAGCAACCACCTCAAGGAAAGAAGAAGCAAAAAAAGAGCCCTGAGAAGACAGGTGCAAGCGAAGAATGATAAAGAACAGAAAATATTAAGTCGGTACTCTACAGGAAGGAAGTAGCTCAATGCAAAAAAAAACCAAATCAAGGCAGCGAAACAAGAGTCATGGCGTAAGCACTGCAGTAACGTGCCAGCAACCTATGGTACATTACAGCAAATAGCCACCAATAAGGTTTTTCAACCCCTACAACTTACCGCTAAAGTAAAACAAGATGCAAAAAGCAAAACAGAAGCTCTAAACACTATCCTAGAAACAATTTTTGTTAAAGACAAGGTGAAAATTGATTTAGTAACTCCCACAGATATAAGGCAGAAGTTTAATTGGAAAAGCAGCAACAGAGATATTACTCTTCCTACAGACCACGAAGCTCATACTATCATCAAAGCCTTAGCAGACAAAAAAGCACCAGGTCTCTAGGAAATAGATAATACTATTGTTAAAGAAATTCACAAAGAATTCTCAGGGTTGTTTTCAAAACTATGCAGAGCCTGCTGGCGACTCGGACATTTCCCTAGAAGCATGAAACTAGTCGAAATAGCGCTCTTTCACAAGCAGGGCAAAGATTCGTCAGACCCAGCATCTTATAGGTATATAAGCTTACTGCCTTCAATCAGTAAGAGTTTAGAAAAAGTAATTCTACAGCGCCTTAATTTCCACATGTACAGGAACAAGTCTATAAACGAAAAACAATATGGCTTCTGCGCAGGAAAGTCCAGAGACAATGCCTTAAAACAACTACTAGATAACATAGAGCATAACAATGACAACGATTTGGACACACTGGTTATATCGTTGGACACCAAAGGGGCAAACGACTCGTTATGGTTGCCAGACGTACTCGAATGCCTAGACACCATGAAATTCCCAAAGGAAATCCTGAATCTTATACGCAGCTACTTGCAGGATCGTTGGATACAGGTTACAACGGTCAATGATGTACTCAAAGTCAAGTTGGAAAGAGGCTGTCCTCAGGGTTCCTGCTTGGGACCTACGCTTTGGAATATTCTAGGGAGCACAGCCTTTGTGTTCTATGACCAGCAGCAAGGAGTGGATATCCAGGCGTAAGCGGAAGACTTTTTATTGGTCAGTTCTGATAGCACGGATACTAGGTTAAAGACACAAAACGCGATCAATATTTTTGCAAGCTGTGCAAATCAGCACAAATTATATATCTCAGCAGATAAAAGTAAACAACTGTTTATATGTAGGCATGGAGCGCGAAATAGAAATCCCAACAGCAAGCTAAATGGAGTCTCTATAAAAGAGGTCACCGACCTTAAATACCTTGGTATTATAATTAAGAATAGGCTTTCCTGAGTATCTCACATTAAAGAGCTTAAGCAGAAAATAAATCAGCTTTGCAATTCCATGGTTAGAACAACAGGACCTCATTGGGGCACTCCAATCACTATGCTCAAAAGCTGGTACAGAACAATCTCAGCAAAGATCATATTATATGGCGCTTCCATATGGTGAAGGAAGCTTACCGCCCATATGAGGAGGCAGCTACTCGCCATCCAAAGAATGCAACTTTTGATAATATGCAAAGGTTACAGAACATCCCCAATTTCGGCACTGCAATTTCTGGCGGGTTTTCCTCCGCTGGACCTTCTAAGTGGAGAGAGAATCACTATTAGTAAGGACATTGCGGCTGGAAAATAACATCTCTCTGTGGCAAAAGACATTCTACCACACAGACTACGAGAAGCGCAAGGCGATCATGCTTGGACACCCTGCAGATACAGATTTATCGCACACAATACATATGCAATACACCCCCGCCAAATGAGAATGCATTTGCTGTTTATACAGATGACTAAAAGACGAAGAAAGGCACAGGCTGCGCTTACTGTGTACTCGAAGAAGGAGAAGTGGTTAAAACTTGGGAAAGACACTGGCAGACATAAATACCGTCTTTCAGACGGAGCTTCTAGCATTAAAAGCAGCCATCAATATGGCAAAACATCAAATTAGGAACAAAGGTCAACATATATAGCGACTCTGCCTCAAGTTTGGAGTCCATCCGAGGGCATAAGACAAGGAGTCCTTTGGTGCAAGATATACAGAAAATTCTTCTAAGGATCCCACGAGATGACAGACCTATCCTGATCTGGGTTTCAGCTCATGTGGCAACGAAGCGGCGATCTTGCTTGCGAAATCAGCAGCCAATGACTCAGTAGACTGAAAAACGCAGTAAGTGTGCCACAGTCCTATTTAAAAAAAATTACGCTTAATAGCCTTTTACAAGAATGGCAGAAAAGATGGGAAAGGAAAAACATAGGGATTAGAACTTACAAGTTCTTTTCGAAAGTTACATGCTCACTTAAAACATACAGCGGGGCACAAACTCAATTCTACACTGGCCACGATCCCTTCCCACATTATCTTAAGAGATTCGGCAAACGAGCATCAGAATTGTGCGAATGTGGTGCGGTAGGTGATGCAGATCCCTACCTCTTCAACTACCCACAAACCGATAAACTGCATAACTGTATTTAAAAATTCCAAGCAGTGAATACTGGCTGCAGTGGGTGGAGAATATCTGCGTCAACAAGCAGACGAAAACTAAGATAGAGGAGGTGATCAGGCTATGCTCAGCAAGGTACTAAGAGATTCTCCCCTCCCTTAAGAATTGTATCTTCGCTGTATAATTTTAAAAGCAAAACAAAGTGCTGGGGACAGGCCTTACAAAAGTGGAGTACAATGAGCTGACAACTCGCAGTTACCGGAGCAGCAGATTAGTGTAGTTGACTCTTGCAGTAATATCCAAGTAATAGAACAGTAACAAAGACACTCCCTTGATAGGTACTACAACTTTAATAGCAGTTGCAACGTTTCCAAGCAATTTAGCTGAAGTACCAGAAAATTGAGTCACATAACTCCCTACCCAATTTAAGCCAGATAGTACTAACAACTGAAAATCAACATTAGAAAAGTAGATCACCCCGTAGAATAGTAACAGGACTGTAAGAGCAAAAACTATTGTAATGTAAGCTTGTTACTATCCATTTTGTATGTACTTGGTTAAAAATAATATTGTAAAGGAGTTAATCATGACATTGAAAATCCATTCAATGTGTAAATGAATTACAAGTTTACCTTGATTATCTCAGTAAAAGCACTGTAAATATGAATTCGGATAATGTTTAAATGTGCACATAACTGTCATGATTTTATATAGCTATCACATGTAACTTGTACAAGACAATGTTTGTAATTAACATATCTATGCTTATACACAGGCCTTGTATGACCATGTAATATCTAGATTTATATTTTTATACGGAAGAAATAATCCCTTCTGTCAGGATGACTATTAACACTGTAAACCTTTTACAACAGAGTCAGGTCAGTGATTATCTCAGGCGGCGCTCAGTATAAGTCCGTGCATCACACTAATGATGACGGTATGGCCAAATGACAGTATAGGTGCATCACATTAATGAACTTGATGAATATCTTACTAGGGCATAAAGAAGTAATATATAGATAGATCACTTCGTATATAAAGGAAGGTGGACCATTGCCTGGTGGAGAATGGCCGATCAAGAGACAGTACCCATGCCGACAGAAACTGAGAAAATAAATTAACAGTTTGCAAAGAACTGAAAAAAGGCATTAGATGTACAAAAAAATATTTACAATTCATAGATTAGATGCATTCCACTAATAACATTACACATTCAAAACCACCAGAGGAGATGGGTCGCATCAGGTCGATGTGAGTATTCTTCGAAGAGAAAGTAAACTAAATTATCATTTTTTATCATATTATAAGTACTACTACCATTTATGTGTTATACTAAACTAAACATATTATGTATACTAAACTAACATTTATGTGTTATACTATACCCTTTATGTGTTATACTTGTTTCTGTATTATCGTTTTGTATTATTATCTTGATATAATGTATACAATATCAAATGAAATTACAAGCAATGATAGGCTTCTAAAATTTAAATTTTAATCTTATCTATTTGTTCCATAATTCAAAAAGGATGGAAAAGGTGTGGAGCTATATTTTCGTCGGCGGTCGACCGGTGCAATTTCTCACCTCCATCTAAATTAATTGACCCAGTGCCGATAAAATTTTGCCGTACTTAAATTCTGCCATTCGTTAAGGCTGTGCCGGTTCCAATGGCTCTAGCGCCATTTTCGAAGGAAATGCTTTCATTTAATAAACATTTCACAGCCTATAAACTAATTCTTAATCACAGTAGCTAATGGCAGTGACGTGTATCAGGTGGTTAGTTCTGAAACTTTATAAATCCTCTAAGATGTTGATAAAATTAAATGTCGTGTGGAGATATAAATCAAACATGCTTTCATTAATTAACAAGCGCATTTGTTTCGGACAACACAAACTATCTATTATGCCTTTAAAAGAAACTACAAAGAAGAAAACTTAAATATCACCTGTTTGGGGGCATCCAGTTGTCATGCAAATGTCAGACATAGAGAAGGTTTTGTTTGGCGAAACTTGAAGATCGTAAATGCCAGGATTGCATGTGGAGTCTGGAAAAAAGTTAATGCATTTTATAATTTCATAATAAAGAATTTTAATTCCCATGAGACAACAATCTTTAAATATCCATGCTGCTGTCAAAGCTCGTCGTCTGTCTCATTTCGTAAAAATATTGTTTTATGTCTAGCCTTAACCAGCTAATGTGACCAAAACTTGGAGTCCATAACAATTTACAGGCCAACTCTAGGTTTGTTTTATAGGAAGTGGCAAATTTAGAAATCAAAATTGCCTCACTCTTAAAGCCTTTTATGAAATTAATATTCTTGGAGGAAGAAAAGTATATGTGCTGTTTAATTATACAATCGTTAAAAATCTGTATTTTACTATTCGCTCTGTCATTGATACAAATAATTAGAAGCCTTTAAAAATATTTTCATGCGTCACAAAATAATTAAAAAAAGTAACAAAAAATTAAATAAAAAATGAACAAGTAAAGATATAAAATAATGTAAATAAAATACGTTTCTAAAAGGTGTAAATCTCGCACTATCACCATAATATACAATATAGTTTTCAGTATTAAAACTAGTACCAATAAATATAGTATTAATAAGAACAAATCATTATTTATTTATCACTTTTCAAAACAGATAACAAATGATGATGTCTATTTTACATTCACGTTTTTGTGACGAAGCAGATATTTATTTAAAATCTCTAATATGATTTATATAATAAATTTAAGATTACATGCTGATGCATTGTAATACTAATAAAATATTGCAAATTGTTACGTACTTAAAATATAATAATTTGCAGTTAGTCTTTGTGGTTAGCTAGAAAAATTCAAATATTCAACTCGTATTTAAATTCGTTCTTTTATTATTGTTATTATTATTATATTATTATTATTATTATATATTATTATTATTATTATTATTAAATAATTACAATCCTCCATATGCTGAATATTTCGTCCTCTAGTCAGGTGCAAGATTTTATTAAAGCCATATAAAATTGAAACCCAACCTAATATAGGTAAATTTGGGAAAATTTAAATATTGTCACAGTTACTTATTATTATAACATGTAAATATATCAAATTTTGTTTTTAATAATACAGCCAGTGGTTGTGCAGAAGATTCGTGCCTTGCGAAATTTTAATAATATTGATCTGCAGAAATCAAGAAGTATGTACATTTCAAGAAGTATGTACATTGTTTTCCAGTGTTTTTTGGAATCATCACACTACAGATGAAGTAGAAAACCACGCCAAAAAGAAAGTAATATCAGCACAATTTGTAACTCACCAATTATAATTACAATTAGAAAAACGCGAAGCTCTTCTATTAGGCAAAGCAAAAAGTCTTTCATGCTATGTTTTTTTAAATTATTGATAAATCCATAAAAGTTTAAAAGGTAAAAATTTACAATTGGGTGCCCTTTTTTTCTTGGCGATTCTTTTTTGACGTTAAGATCGGTGCCAGGAAGTCACAATTTCAAGATGGCAGCTACACAAAACCAAAATAAGAAGTCAAAGAATTGCACAAACTCTGTGTCCATCGATCTGTTTTCACTTAAAAAAACATCCTTGAATTGCACGAACTAGGCTTTGCTCACTTCCTTAAATTTGTCCATGTACACATCAATCTATCTATTTTCATTTAAATAAAATCAGGAAGCTAAAACAAAGTGAAAACTATCATGGTAATCAGAAGTGAGGTTTCATCGCCAAAATTTTTTAAAAATTGTCGCTAATCGAAGGGACACCCAATTCTACACTAGAGCCTTTTAAAGTTTCTGAAACATTCATTTTTATTATTTCTAATACGTTTCTAATAAATGTTTGGGAGTCATTTTAGATGAGGATCAGTGTTGGCTTCTATACATTAATGATCTTAATATCAATAACAAAATTTCTATTACAATTTGTTACGAATGACATAAAAAACTTGAGGTTAAACATCAGATCTCTTGAAGATTTGGTATGTAATGGTTACAGCATCAGTTATTTGTAATGCAATTTCAGCTTGCGTCACCTTGTTGAATGTGAATCGAAATCGAAATATTGTAATTTACAAGGTCTTACAATATTTCGATATGCCTTTAATTACACAGGTTTTAAAACAGCTCCGACAAATGGCCTATTCAATATATCTGGTATTAACCCACTCATACTCCCTTTGTGAGCGCTAATGAAAATAAATCTCTTTTTATCAAATATATCCAACACTTAATAGTACTTTAAGTATCACATCGTGCGTTTGGATTTAATTGGAAATGATATCATTTAGAAAAATGCTGTAAAATTACGGAAATCTAATTCAATATTTCAAGCATAACTATTTGCTACAAAATAGGATTCTGAAAAACTTCTTATTCGGAAAGCATCTATATTGATAGTTCAATTTCTCGGTAATTTCCTGTGAAAATTTACAAAATCTAATATTTAATGATTTAGGTCGCTACTGTCCAAGAAAGTACTAAATATTTTCAATAGATGGATTAAAAACCTATGCTAGTCCCTGTTATATAAATGAAATAGTACATCAAATAGCCAAAAATTCTCGTTCTCATCATACTGCCAGTATCGTTTATGTATACCTAATCCTGCTTCTCTTCAAAATATAATCTTCGGAAATATGCAAAGAGTCTGTGGGAAGATGCTTGGAATTCTGAAGAAACAGACACTATGACTTCTTTCCCAAAGTCTCAATAAATTAAAATCCAACAAAATATTATTAACGCAGTTATGTACTGAATATTGTCTTATTCCATCTCACAATGCGATACAAGACCTTTTACTCTGGTTTGGGTGAGGTTGAATTCTGTGGCTAGAATGTGCTCTAGATCTTCTTTCTTTATTGTAGCTTGTATATTATGTAATGCGCACCCTCGGCTTTCGTTGTACTAGGGTTTTTGTGTTTACTAATTACGAGCTCTATCCTTTTTCGGGGAATTTTCCAGTTTTGCGAAATTCTCCTTTGTAATGTCACTCAGCCGTGATGACTTTCTTCTGGACTGCGCGAAGAGTTGATATTTCTGAGCCCGAAGTCCTGTAGCGGTGCAACTTGTGAAAGTTCTTATTGTAGTTGATCTCTCATTTGGTCTTTTTTGTAATATATAAAAAGCGCCAGTTTGAGATTTTTGATCGCATCTCAGTATGCTGTACTAACATTTTAGTATTGCTTCTAGTCGTAAGAGCTACTAATTCTCTGGTTATTGTATCTGTGGTTGCGTTGTATACAGACTGGAGAGAGCAAATTTCTTCAGCCTTTTTCAGTGCTTGTAGGAGTTCTACTTGCTCCGTGCGCGTGACAAGTAAGCGTGTTTTGAGTTTCTTGAAAATTTCTATAGCTTTGTGATATTTCAATATTTTGGTTCGTAAGAATTTAAAAAGATCTGTTGAGCTTCTTCTGAAGTTGTGTTGTGGGCAAGCCTGTTTTTAGGCCTTCTTGAAATGACATTTAATTTCTATTTGAATTTCTATTGTTGCACTTAAATAATACTGGTGGTTTTAGTAATTTTAAAAGTCCTCTTGAAGGTCTTTTGGAAGTCTTCCGAAGGTGAAGCAGTGCGCTGATAATAACGAAGAATGTTTGGCAATTAACTACATCCTATTATTTCAGTTCATTTGTATTCAATTCAGTTCGCTATATCTAAATCCATATTTCAAATGCAGGAATACCTGATGAAACGTATTAAAAATAATAAAAACAAAATAATAGGTATACTATATTAAGATATGCTATTCTTGAAGGACAGTAATTAAGAATACAACAGCAACAAACTCAAGGTATGTATCTTACAGACAAAATGCTATGTAATCTTTCTGGGAAGAAAACACTATTATGCATAATTATAAGTATATAAATGAAATAGTGTAACAAAACACTAATAGAAAAGCAGCAATATTAAGACTAAAACAGCTTTATAAGCTTTAACATGTAAGTCTTAATCTAATATTAGAGTTGCGATGTCTACAGAACCGAAGTCCAAACAATAAAATTGCAACTGGACCAGAGAAAAATTAAGTTAAAAATGCAAAACATTGGCTCACGCGAATGTCACTTTGAGGCCTTTGAAAAAGACAAGTTATTGCTGTCACAACAACAGTTGCAGTGACACAACAATGGATCCTGCGGTGTTGTTACCGAAAAGAGAGAACGAGAAGTTACTCTATGAAATTTGATTAAATCATGAAACTACCTACAACCAAATTATGATATAGGCACAAAAATTGTATTTGAAGAAATATTATCAGAAGGTTTATCTTGCCGCTTCGTTGCTTATTCGTTATTTCTCTGATGTAGAACTGGATGGCAGTTATAATCCCCAAAATCCATTGAAATGTGTCACTAATAATATTATTACACAAATTCTCACACTTGCCACACAAATACACTTGAGCACGTTTTAGAGGAGCACAACCCAGTGGAAAAATGATACTTGGATGGTTGAAATGGAATGAATATTCCCATGCTACTAGTAATTTTAATGTACGCAAGAGGGTGGCACTTCATCATTTCACGTTGTGGTTCGCTGTAACGTTGAAACTTGTATTTAAAAAAAATTCTGAATTGTTCAGCAACTAATCGCCTTACAGAGGAAAGAAAATTAACGTCGCGTTTGTCTGTATAGTTATGTAAGGATTTTAAGTTTTATTAACGTTTATTTTATTTTGAAACTTTTGCTATCCTGTCTGATTTTTCATTTCCGGCTAGAATAAGCGCGAGAGGGAATCTTATGTTGATGAATTGCAAGCTGTAAAGGTATTTAAGAAATGGCTTTTAACCAAGAGAGGAGAGAGCCTTCTTGTTACCCTGCCACAAGTTCATGTCTGCCTTTAAGGCCAGAACTTAGTTCCTGCTGATATACTTAGAAGTATTGTAGTATTTGCATTTCGCTCACTACATAGGTAGTGTTAAAAGGACATTCTTCGCATTAATAGTCTCTGTAAAGCATTTAAGTATAGTTCTTATTTAGTTAGGTTAGTTTATTTCTTATGTTCTAAGTTTTAGACCAAAACTGCTGGTCTCTGTATCCCAAC